GGCTCCCTCTGGGTCCTACTGCCCTTGGATCTTGTCAGCCAGGGCAGATAAATATTAATTTTCTAAATTTTTTATGGGCCCCACAGGCTGGATAGAATGGCCTGGTGGGCTGGATGTGGTCTGTGGGCTGTATTTTGCCCACTCCTGAAGTAGAGGAAGATTTAAAGGTTTATCTTGCAGACCTGTGTAAAAGAAGTCATACCAGGGCAACAGGCTAGTATTTAGTACAGGATTCCCTCAATTTATGCGGGTTCTGTATATGCAAATTCACACTTATGCAATGAACATTTTTAGACCCTTAATTTGTTATATGCAAGGTAAAATTGCTTTTTTACGATCAGTATAGGCGTCCCCCCTCCCCCCCTCACAAGCAGGTAAGTCTGTGGGGGAGAGGAAAGGGCCGTGGGGCCAGGGCCCCACTCACCCCAGGCCCTGCTGCAGCAGCCCCAGGAGCTGCCGATGCCAGCTATCTGCAGCCACTGCTGCACTGTGCTTTGCCTGTCCCCCCGTGCCTGGGCTCTGCCTGTCCCCACTGACTCCAGCTCATGTGCTGCATGGTGCTGAGGTGCAGGCAGCTGGCACTGGCTGCTCCTGGGGCCACTGCAGCAGGGGCTGGGGTGAGTGCCACACTCTGTGCCGCCCAGAGCTCTGCTTGTCCCCACTTACCCCTTGTGCAGCCCCAGGAGCAGCAGCCCTTCCCCATCCCCTTCCCTAGTCCCAGCCTCCATCCCTCCCTCCCTCAACACCATGGGAACCTATTCCTATTTGTTACATTATAAAGTGGGTTCACTTTATGTGAATTTGATTTATGCACCGTTCTCTGGGAATGCATAAATCGAGGGAAACCTGTAGTGCTTCTGCTGCTGCTATACGGCAACAAGCAATGGATCAAGTGTTGCAAGGTATTCCAAGAACACAGAATTATTTGGACGATATTTATATGACTGATGAAAGTGACAAAGAACATCTGGGAACTCTAAAAAGAAAAACAGGCCATGGTTGGACATATTAAAACCAGACCTGCAGCAATGTGTTGGAAATCAGCAGATAAATTAGCCAATGACAAAGAGAACAGGTGCCCCTTGGCAGCTACAAGTGACTCAAAGAAAATTGATATGTGATGACTGAGGACTCAAATGCCAGCCTATGATTTGTTAGTGTACAAACAGGTTCTTTGTCTTATACAACAGAAGTATGCAACCTTTTCCTACAGCAGGCCCAAATGAGCAACCTTAGGCTACATGGAAAGAACACCAACAGCCAACTCCCCACCCCGATGCTGAAGCCCCATGTCTGCAGGCCATAGGTTGCCAACCCCTGCTATTGGCAGTGTAATAATATGGCCAGATTCCTGGGTCATAGGGGCAAATGGCAACTTCCAGCTGTGAAGTGAAAGTTCTGTGCTCAGACTTTGATAATGCACAGTTGCCAGAGGCAGCCATTTTTTGCACTCTCCCCCACTCTGCTCCTCCCCCGTCAAAGTCAGCACCCAGGGCAGTTGCCCCACCCTATTTATACCAGTGCCTGGTATATGGTATAAAGGATACCCACACACATAACTGATTGCAAAGGTGAGAACAGAGGCAACAGTCAGATCTCCTCTTGTGGTTTTGTGTGTGCATTTCCCCATGATTCTTTAAGGCAACAAATAGGCCTGTTGTGATTTTGCAACCCATAGCGACAATGCATAGTACCACACCAGAAAAGTACAGTGCTAAACCAGCAATATTTAGTGATGCTGATCACCCTGGATCCAATGCAACAGGGGCCACAGGGACCAAACTGACCCATCACCTTGAAAAGGAGCCTCACCTCTCTGCTCTGGTTTGGTTTAGGTTATGAGGGAGGAAGGAGGCATTGGGTAGGAAGACCACTTACCTTCTTGTCTTTGATAAGCAAGTCCACTCTAGTTTCAGGTTCTCAGACCACTTTTCTCCCTTTCAGAAGAGGCCTCGCAACCACAATAAACAAAGTAAATCCACCAACTGTTACCCGTGAGCTCTGTGTTCTTGGGGAAACCTAGCACAGTATGCAGCCTGTCTGACTCACAAAGGACTCACCCTCCCCTCCTCCCCCACCACCTGTACCTGAACAAGAACTGATGAGAGGAAGGACTTACAAAAGACAATGAAGATGCAGTGGGAGATGAACCTAAATCCCTCCAGACAAGGGTGATAGGAGTGAAGCAACTCCCCTGGTCTCATTTACATCGGAGATGGAAATGGATGACAACTCATTTGCATGGGAGATGGGTCAGGAATGCACCTTCATTAGCACTCGGAATGGAGAACAGAGATTCCAAAGCAAGGACCGCACTGAACTCTGGAACCAGAGAAGCAGGGGAACACTGTATGATGGGAAATCACTGCTCCAAATGCTAACCAACCCATGTCTGCACACACCCAGTTCAGTAGTTATCAGACCAATTCTAGTAATGACTCCTTTATGAGTACCCAAAACACTGAATTTGCCTGTTTGTATTGTGAACTCCCTCAGAATAATGCCACCCATAACCACCCATAGCCAGCAGTTTCTATTATACAGCATATAAGCCATCATTTACCTATAAACAAACTTAGTGTTCTCCCTTGAGCCATTGTTAGTTCCCTACAAAAACCCCTACCCAAGCTCAAGTTTCTGTCCTGATGCTTGGATCCAAAAGCTGCACCAGTTCCACTCCTTTTCTGCCTGGAATCCCTTCATTGATCATGCTGAGGGCTTTGCCTGTCTGCAAGCTCCAGCAAACACCTGGGAACATCGAATGGTTTAAGCTTTGCTGAGTGGTGAGACCCTGACTCTTTCTCTCTCTCTATCTGACTCCAGGAACCTAACTTTTGCTTTCTTACTCCAGACACAGCTTTATAAACCTGACTTTTGTTTTCTTACCCTAGGCGCAACTTTCTAAACCAGACTTTTGCTGATCAGACTTGAGCTAGACTTCCCCAAATACCTAACTGAAACTATGTAATATTGTAACTGTTGTATTTGTATCTCTTGTATGGCTATTACTACTGGTATCATCATAAGTTCATATACCTGGCAATAAATAACTTTTATGGTCAAGCTGGTTGCTATTCTGTTTCTCTGAACCTCACTTACTTTTCCTTCCCCTTGACCTCCCCATTTGCTCTGCAGCAATGCTTCTTTTACCTAAGCCAAAGATCCCTGTAATGCCCCAAACTACGGTGGGGTCTGCTCATCAAGGGAGTTACTACTAGGACCACTGTGACAAGAGATTGGGATGTGTTGAGTTTTGAGGCGCATGAGGGTATCAGATGAACGTGCTGATCAGACCCAGCCTGCTCAGATGTACTCTGTTAGCATGTGTGTATGTGTGTCTAACTGCATTTATTATTGTCCTGTTGAAATAAGGGATGAACTGCTTCAAGGCTCATGAGAGTGTTAGCCTGTCAATGCTGAATAACCCAGCCTGGCTCAGGCATGCCCCGTTAATTTGTGTGTGTATGTGCGTATATGTTTGACTGATTTGGTGGTTGGAGGAACCCGGCCCCACTGAAACTGTGTCCTGCAAGATAGGTCCATTGGGGGTGAGGACTCGAAGAAAGGAGAAATATAGCTCCATATAGAACATAAGTAACACAAGCAGCACATTGATAGAATTACAGAGATGCCAGAAACATACCCCTAATAAATGAACACACCTCAAAGTGACAGGCAAATCTGGTATCACAACCAAAAATCTGATGTCTTCCTTCAGACATGAAGGAAAAGGTAATTTGAACTCTGTATTCTTCTCTAACCTCCAGCACTCCTCTCCCAGAGTTACTGACACTCTTTGGCTTCACTTCTATTAACTGGTCATCTGTTCTAGCTCGTTCCCAGCCAGGGAGACTATTAGCTCATTATCACCTGCAGATGGGTTGCAAGCCCTTGAGAGGCAGAATGCCTCCTACTGCCAGCTTCAAGAGTCCAATGCTATATGCAAGTGCTAAACATTGCAGTTATGTGCCTGTAAGTGCCACTTAAGGGCATTTATACATGCTCTCCAGAAAGTGTGTGGGGGGGAGCACTTTAATTAGAGCAACTCCAAGAGCCACTCTAATTAAAGTGCCGGGAACATCTCATCATGTACCAGCGTCCCCGCACTTCAAAATCCTGGTGGGGGCAGCTTTAATTAAAGCACCTCAACTGCTATTTTGAAGTATGGGACACAGATACATGAGATGCTGGAGGCTGCTAGAGCATGGTAATTACCATTAATTGAGTCTGCTCTGACACACTGTAATTAGAGCGCATTGGAGCAGCCTTGCTGCTCGTCCATAAGCACCTGACATGTTTAAGTGTGAGGTAGGGTTTCGCCCTCAGTGTTGCCATGCCTAAATGCCATTTTGGGTCTGGGGGCAGGTGCCAGCAGCCTCTGGCACTTAAGCAGTTCAGTAGGAGTTCTGTGGATTCCTCAGTCAGACTTGGGTTTTAATTTGGCCCCAATTCCTAATATATACACAATCGCCTCCCTTGTTAATCCTATCTCATTCTTTTAATCCTATCCCATCCCTTATCCCATCATCATAGAATATAAACCATCAGGATATAAATGCAAGTTCACTAATACATGTTAAAAATTCCACACTTGTCCTAATGCACCCAAGGTTCATGTTCAAGAAACCTGCCTTTCATTGCTTTACTGCTGGCCTTTCCCCAAACCCCTCACTCTCAGGGGATGTTGAGAGGATTGCAGAAGGCTGGTTGCCTCTTTCCCCTGCATCCTGTGCATCATCAGCTGATAGCTGACTCAACTCACTTCATTTTCCTCAAGCCAGAGTCTTTTCTAGGTAGTCAGCTAGAGCCTGCAAAGGAGCTCACACCAAATAGTTGCTCCATAAGCCAAGAAAGCAATAAGTAAAGGAAGCTTTTTCCTGAGCCATTACCATTGCATCAGGGATGATGGGAACATGAAGCAGAAGACCCAGCCTTTTCGCTCCTACTAAGAGAACTGCTATAGCAAACTTCTAGGGACCCACACAGTGAGTGAACTGTACCTGCAGGCAGAGGACTCTTCTGTGTCACAGGGGTCTTGGGGGTCCCAGGCACGCCGCTTGGCCGCTCCCAGGTGGTTTCTATTCAAAGAGAATAGCAATATGAGTGTGGTAGGCAGACAACCACATGTCCAGAACATAGGACAACCAATGGATCATGATCTCACTTGGCATGTATCTCATGATCTTGCCCCTTGCCTAGCAAGGCTTAGTTATACACTTCTCTGTGCTACCTCCATGGGCATCTTCTGCAATCCTGAAACCCCAAATACTGGGAAATTACCCACTGCCCTTTAACCCCACAGTCTCAGCTGACACAAAATAACCCTCTGACCTGAACCTTCCCCATGCTCACTTCCAGCCAACATGGGGCACCCTGCTCCTCTGAGGTTCTTCCTTTCCTTCAGGCACTCCATTATCCTGGCACTCTGTGTCTCCTCCCATACATGGAGCTTCCTTTCACCCCATGCTCCTCTTCTAGCGAAGGGGTTCTACAAACACATTGGTCAGGAAAGAAAGACCAAGGAAGCAGGGGGTCCATTGCTTAGTAGCCAGAGTGATCTTTAACAGAAGACATGGAATGCGGAACTTCAGTGGCTACTTTGCCTTGGTCTTCACAAAAAAGCATAAGCTACAACCAGACGGCTAACAAAAATAATATACACAAAGACAAAGAAAGGCTGAGGTGAGGGTCCTGATAACTAAAGAGAGCATCTGAGAGTTTTGATTGAATTGAATGAAATTAGGTCAGCAGGGCCTGGTAAATTAATGCCAGTATGCTGAAGGAGATCCATTAGCAAGAATATTTACAAAGTCATGGGAGATGAGCAACATTCCAGATGATTGGACAAGGGCCAACATAGCATCCATTTTTACAAAAGGGAGAAAGAAGGAGCTGGGGAGTCAAAGACCAGTCAACCTGCTTTCAATACCTGGGAAGTTACTGGAACAAACTATAAAGGAGTCAATTTCTAAATATCTGAAAGAGGAAAAGTTGATCACTGATAGCCAGCCTGAATGTGTTAAAAAACAAATTATGCCCAACCAACCTGATCCCCTTTGACAAAGTAACAAGTTGGGTGGCTGAAAGGAATGCAAGTAATAGAGTTAAAATGGCTTTTGATGGTCTCATTTGATATTCTTAAAAGTAAAGTGGAGATGTGTGTTGGATAAAATCACTATAATATGGCTACACAATTTGGTCAAAAATGGCAAGCAAAGTGTAATTACGAAGGGATCAGTGTCCAAATGGCAGAAAGCCTCCATATTGAGTTGCAGACGCCACAAAACTAGGAAGAACTACTAACACTTTGGACAGTAGGAGTAGAATTCAAAGGATTTTGATAAATCAGAGAATTGGGCTAGAGACAACAGAATGAAGTTCACTATAGCGGTACTACAGCTAGGGAGGGGGTACAAAATGCACAGATAAAAAATGGGTATGCCTGGGTAGCACTATTGTTGAGAAGGATTGAGGTGGTTTTGGTGATCACAGACTCAATATGACACAGAATGGACATAAGGTCCCATCTGGAGGCCTCATCTGGGGCCCCTTAGGCCTCACCTAGAATATTGTGCACCATTCTGGGCTCCATATTTTAAGAAACATGAGGTATTTTTAGCTTGGAGAAAAGACAATTAAAAGGGACATAATTGCAGTTTTCAGAGATTTGAAAAGCTAACATAAAGAAGATGGAGAATAACTATTACACCTGGCAGCTGGTGGGCTCAATCCAATGCATCGAGCCAGCATGGTGACAGCCCCATCCCTCACCCTGGGGAAGGGGTGGTGCACAGCCTGATCCTGATCTCTCTGTCTGGGCAGCAGGAGTTGGGGGATTGGTGGTGGGGGAGGGGAGGGAAGTGGGTGGAGCAGCCCTGGTCTAGACAAGTGTGTGTGGGGGTGAGGAGTACCTTGGCCCCATCCAGATGGACTGAGGGTGGACCCAGCCCTAATGCTTATCAGAATGCTTAGATATTAAACATGCTGCATGGCAATGGCACAGGCAGAGCTGAATCTGGCCATGCAGAACTTCCACCAATTTTCCAACCAGTGGGGATTCTTGCAGGCTGGATGCCCTGGCTCCACAGGCCAGATTTGTTCCACAGGCTGAAGGTTGAGCACTGGTTATGTATAGCAGGGGTTGGCAACCCTTGTACGTGTGCCAAAACGTAGCACATGAAGACACTTTGCTTGGCACATAAATTTGCCACAGGTGGCCCGGGTTCTGGGCAGGCCCCTGATGCCTGCCACAGAGCCCAAGCTGCTTGCAGCAGGTGGTGAGACCAGGGTCCATGGAGCCCTGGCCTGGATCTTTGGTGTTGGTAGGTGCATGCGCACCTTGGGGCAGCTGGTGGGGGAGTCCATGTACCCGGTGCTGGCAACAAGCTGGGTTGGGGTTCTGTGGGCTCCAGTGCAGCTGCTTGCAGCCTCCCTGCCATTTGCTGTGAGCAGCTAGGGCTTTGTAGTGGGCAGCAGGGGCCTGCCTAAAGCCTGGGCTGGCCATGGTAGGTAACTAAGAGGCTGCAAGCAGCTGCACCAGGGTCCACGGAGCCCGGGTCCAGTTCATTGCAACTGGAGACTTTCCCGGATGCTTTTGGTGAGCCATGGAGGCTTGTATACTCTCCTGCCCCCTTTGATCCTCGTCGGGATTACCTTCTTTTGGGCTTGGAGGATCGTCTCCTTAAGGAGCGACCACTCCCCTTGAACACCCGGCTCTCCTCCCCTCTGAGACTTCAGCGCTTCTCCAACTATCCTCCTTAGCTCGTTGAAGTTCGCCCTCCTAAAATCTAGGGCCACAGCCCGACTGCTTGCCTTTGCCACCTTGCGCTGAATGGTGAATACCAGCAGGCAGTGGTCACTGTCACCCAGGGGGTCAAGCACCCGCAGCCCCCTCACCAGGTCGTCGCCCGTGGCCAACACCAAGTCCAACAAGGCATCCCCCCTGGTGGGGCTGTGCACCTCCTGGGTTAGATGAAGGTCCTGGACTCTGTCTAAGAAAGTCCCAAGGGACAAGTCAGCAACTGGGGAGCGGTCCCCCCGTGGCCGATTGTGAGATGGCCAACTGCTGCGGAGGCTTCTGGGAGTGGCTGCAGGCACTTCTGGGAGTGCAATGGCACTCCACTCCCTGGCCGGCGCTTGCAGGGGGGCACCGGCACTCTCGCCTGCCCGTTGCCACTGTCCCAGGCCCCTAATCATTTTTGTCACTCTCTGCTGCACACTTTCCAATCTGTCCACAACTTTCTTGAAATGCGGGGCCCAAAACTGGACGCAGTACTCCAAGTAAGGCTTCAGAATAGAGCAGAGGAATCACTTCCCTTGATTTGCAAATGCCGCTCCCATTAATGCAAGCCAGTATGCTTTTGGCCTTTTTTGTATCAAGAGCACGCTGTTGGCTCATAATCAGGTTATGTTCCACTGGACCCCAGGTCCTTCTTTGCAGTACTGTAGTCTAAAGTGTCATACTCGAGTCTGTATTTTTGCATGAGGTTATTCCATTCCAAGCACAGGGCTTTGCAATCAACCAGATGACATTCAACAAGGACAAATGCAAAGTTCCTCTTACCCACACACAACAGTATTGAGTGGGAGAAGCTGAGATCACTGAGTTCATCAGAAGACTGTACCCCAGACTAAGTCAAACCAAAACAAATCCCTGTACCCAGAATGACAGAAGTCATTCTGACTTTTTCCCTTGTTACCAAGGTGACTAGCAATCTTCTCTTGAAGCAAACATGCCTAAAGCAAGAGAGATGATGTGTGACCTTGTTTTACTGACTGAACAGGGAAAAATAGATGAAGTAGAAAGATTAAAATAATGCCTGATGCTTGAGCAACATAAGGGTGCCTTAAAGGCTTTTGCCCAAGACCAGAACGTAGGGAGCAGAAAGGGATGATTCTAACCCCCACATTTCCCACACAATATTTATTCCCTTGAGCACATAAATTGTAATATAATCCTTAATTACAGAACCATGCACTATTTTTCCACAGGAGTGTGATTCATTAGATACATCAGGGGGATGCTCACTGAATGAACAGTTATTCAATATTTTCTACTTTTCCCTTCAGTCCATATGAAGCCCCAGGCCATAATTAACAGATATTATTTAACTTCTACAATGAGTACAGAGTTATTAAGCTCCTTGTAGATTTCTCTGTGCTGCTCATCAGTTTATCAATCAATAAAAGATTTATCCTTGCAACGCTCCTGGAATGTAGAAAGTTTTTACAGATAGAAAAAATGAGGCACAGAAATGTTGATGAAAGCACTGCAAAGACTTGCATTAATTTTAGGTTCCTCAATAATGTGGTTCTCAAGTTTGAGCAGTTACAACTGACTCAGTAGAGCACTCAGCACTCTTTCATACGGTTTTATGGTCAAGATCGGATTTTTACAAGACTCTTGTGCAATGGTTCTCAATCTTTTTAGACTTCAGGCACCCCACAACAGAATCAAGGCACTTCTTGGAAAATGCCAGCTCTTAGTTTTCCCTCTCTTTTTTGACTACAGGAAAACAGTAGAACAACTCATCTGTTGAAAATAACTCAAAAACCACAACAGGTCAGAATATTTTTATCACTATGGATTCCTATATGAAAACTCTAGATTTATCTTGTGAATCATGTTTGTACCATGCAGCACTCTTGAGGCACCCAGGAATACCACAGCACCTTGGTTAAGAACCACTAGTCTAGTGAAACCAAGTCCCTGTATTTTTGTTGTCCAATTTGTTGCCTCCTAAAGAAACTGATTTGCAGAAAGTGCCTAGCACTTGTCTTCTTACAATCTGTCTCCAGGGGTCTCAAGTTGAGCAGCAGTACACACAAAGTTAGTGGTAGAAGTACAAGGAATGCACTTAGGATACAACAATCAAAATGGAAAGAAATTGGCTATACTATGGTACTGTAGAAAAGGACTGGAGGCCCACAACATGAATAAGTCAACAATAAAATCATAGAAGAGTAGAGCTGGAAGGGACCTCCAGACATCATCTAATTCCATCTCTTGCTAGAGTCAGGATCATCCCTATCCAAAGCATCCTATGCAAATCCATTGTTGGGGGAAAAAAACAGCTCC